AAATTTCACAAAAATATGTATTTATCCTGATAATTATCTAAATAATAAGAATAGGTAGAAGTAAGTCAAAATAGATAAATATGATAATATCTTGTAGAAAGCTTCTTAGAAGCTTCATGGATAATGTTTTGCCTTTATATATGTCTATAGGTGATTGATAGGTTGAAAACTTGGCCAAAATAGAAGCCACATGTCGATATATTGACCATTTGTAGTACAAGTTGGATATATGGTGCACACCTAAGAAACTTGCCTTGCAAATTAGACATGTATCTTATAAGTTGGACGCATATTAGAGGTCTTATAGCATGTTGCTACATAATTCTTAGTTAAGTAGTATATATAGAGATAAGAGTGAGGCCTTCCTCACTCTTGTCAATTCCTTTCTTGCTTTTAGTCTAGTTTCAAGAGTCTTATATTTTCAATAGCTATTCCAGTTCTTCCTTGAATATACATACTTTCTTCTATTTTGTCACTTTCTTTTTGAGACAAATTCCACAAATTTATGTATCTTCTTTTAATTTGTGTCCTTGACATTTCATGGTTGTTGAATATTATATTTATATTATTTTTTAATATTATATATGATTTAAAATCATATAACCTTTGTTTTAAATCTACGCAATGGATTATATATGATCATTCCAATTTGCACCATATTCTCAAATGAAGTAGCAAGCTCATGTAATATAATCTTTATATACTCTCTTTTTTTAATATCTACCACAATTATTCTCTTTTAATATCATTCCATTTGCACTTCTATTTACCTCCATATTATGAACAAATCAATGTTCATTGTCAAGAAATTTAAACATGACATACGACAATTACTTAAATCATCTTAATTTCTACTATTAGAGAGAAATTGATCTCTTGTATTAAAGCTTGTTAACATGTGTGGCACTTCTCCATTCTCTTCTTTGTTGAAGTTGGGACTTCATATGCTTGTCATTGAATCCTATTACATGTCTATATTAATTAGATATTTTATAGAATAGTAACTAAAAATAATAAAATTATCATTAGAGAGTAAGTCATGGATAATTACTATATTATTGTAGTAATAATATTTGAGTAGTCAAATAACTATTAAGATTGGATGATTTATATAAAGTCAAAATATATAATAATATATAAGAATATTATTTTTATAATAATATATAAGAATATTATATATTATTATATAATATAATATTCTTATATATTATTGTTATATAAAATATTCAACTTTCATTCTTTTTTCTTCTTATTCTTATATATTATTGTTGTTGTTGTTATTCTTGTTGTTGATAGAGAGTGGTAGGAGGATGTAGGAAATGAAAGATAGGAGTAGAAGGACCAAGACAATTACTTAGGATGCAAGTTCAAGCCCAATGTACATAGTTTTATAATACTATATGACCAATATTGAGACTCCTAGGATTTGAGGGAGGAGAAATCATATCTTGTTAGATTTTATATTATGTAGACAATTTTGGATTAAAATTGTATAAGGGTCTTGTAGATTGAATGATTACATGAATGGATTTATATTAGATTTAAGTAAATATATCAAATCTAGTTGTAGATTTAAATTTCAAAGATTTAAGACTATAGATAGTACTATAGATAGTAACATGGCAATAAATCAATTTTTTAGAGGTTTAGTAAACAGGTAGTTGTTACCAGCCTTCGAAGGAGTCTAAAATCTCTCTTTCATAGTCTAATATATGTTCCAAAGAATCATTTTGTAGATCCTTATTAATAATCAAAAAGAGTTTAGATTTTAGAATTTAGGATTTACATTTGAAAATAAATCAAATCTTTTGGATGTAAAACAAAGAAGTAGAAATTACTTGAAGAACTATGCACTAATCAAATCAAGAAATAATATCAATAGTGGAAAGATTATTACAATGAAGTATATATATATATATATATATATATATATATATATATATATATATATATCTTTATTTTTTGTCCAAAAAAGTGATACAAAGAAGAATGCCAACAAAAACATCTACTACCTAATAATGCATATCTTTTAGACTTGATCATATTTTGTATATTATTTATATCTTAATATAATAGTTTAAATCTTATAATTATATATTTTTAGAAAATTAATATGAAGTATTACTAAATTATTTAAAAACTTTAATAAATAAGAATTTTGAAGGAAATTAATTCATATATAAGATTCTTTAAGTTTAGCAAAAATTTTAAGTTGCTTTCAAATACATGTGGTTTATTTTGTTACTTGTGTATTACTTTGCATTAATTATATTATATTAGAAGGTTTAAATATTCAATTGCACTTTTTTCTAAGAAGTATGAGTATTAGATTTTTAATTAATTTACTTCTAAAATTTATAAAGATTGTGATAAATTAATGTACCAAATAGATAATATCATTTCTTCACTTCAGTGTTTAAATTTATAATACTTCTAAAAAAATCAAACTTTATAAAAGATATTTTTTTCAATGTATGATATTTAAAAAAATTAGACTATAATTTCTAATATATAAGAAAAAAAAACTTATAAATTAAATTACAAATAAGAAATTGTTATGTCAAAAAATCTAATAATATTGAAAATAAGCTTTTTTCTTATTATATTGGTCAAATGATAGTTTATTAGATTGTCATAACAAACCAAAAATTATTAATACTAATTAATTTTTAAAATATATAACAGAAATAGAATTATTTATGAACATTATATTTTATTTTTTTAGAATTTAATATTCTTATAATTTTAAATTGGGATATTTTGGATTTTTTAGAATTTATTCAAATTAATAAAATTAATGCATGCTAAAATATGTTAGATTTAGAATCTGTTTATAATAGCTTAGGAATAAAATCAAGATTAATTTACGAATATTAAAATTAATAATTTAAAAAAATCTAGAATTATGGTTAATTCTATTAATTAGATTTTAACAAAATTACGATTTTCTTAGACTTTAAAGTTAGTGAACCTTAGATTAAAATTGATTAAATATAATGCTTATTATAAAAAATAAAAATAAAATTAGAAATTGATATGTATATTAAATACCAATTAAAAATTTCCAATTATAATTTTTTCTCTAAATTTTTTATTATAAGATAAAGAATCAAAATTTAACATATTTATTTTTTATATTAATGTTTGTAGAACTATGCAATGCACTACTTAGATTTCAAAAACCTTTATAATATTAAAATCAAAATAAAGATCCTTCAAAAGAATCATATTCTCCTCTAAATAAATGGTAAGATATAATATATTTAGTACCACAACTTTAGCAAAGATTTTGGTTCTTCATAATGTTATTAGGAGTATATACTACATTTAATTGCATTGCATATATTTTATTTTAAAATATTTGTGAAAACCTAAAAAAATTAAATGATCAGATGGTCTTCTTGCCCAAATATAAAATACTATTAAGACTTAAAATATCTATCAACAACCTTTATACAAAACATTCATCAAATTTTGTAGCAAAAATCATTTTTCATATATTTGATTTCATTTATTTGTAAGAGAAATTAGAATTTTATTACTCCTTATGGAAATTTTTCTTATAATAGGTAATAATGTTACAAATGCATATATTACTAAAGTAAATAGAAATACATTTAAGAGACAATATTTTTCTTAAGAAAAATCATAAAAACTTCTTATACATGATTTTTATCTATAAGTGTCCTTGGATGTGCCATGTAACAATAAAAAGTTTCTCTTATAATTTATTCTAACTAAGAGATTTCTATGGAAGAGTCCTATATCTTCAATACATAACTTCTAAACTTAATGGTTTTAAAAAACCTTCTACATGGCCTTCTTATTAGATAGTATACTTGTACATAAGATTATCATTATTCTTAATAGGGGGATTCAAACATGATATTTTCACAAAACCAAATAACTAAAATTCAACACTTAATGTTTCTAGGGTCACTTGAAATATTAAATCCAATATATAACCATTTAAACTTTATAACCCTCTGATATTATTCCTTAATTCAAACTTTATTATCCCCTTGGTATAGAGTCAGAGAGAGTTAAAGTAAGTAATGTGGTTTTTGATATTTGACCTATCCCTCTTTTGGTATTTCGATTTTAAAATCACCCACCTTGTAAGGTGGGTGATTTGGTAAAGTATCAAGTGATATTTTAAAACATCACAAGATACTTCAAGCTTGCATCATAATAGAAATATCACCCGAAAAGGCTATGTTTGAAACCCCCTAATCTTCTCAATGTCTTTTTGTAATCCAAGCTTGATTCAAGACTCTTTCACACTTTAAGCTTGAAATAGAAATTCCAATAATTTCTTATTGAACATACCTCCTTTTATTTTCTTCTTTATTGTACATGATTGTATTGTGTTTTGACAAGTATAGATATATTCATGCTCTTGATGCATTCTTCTTTGTCTACACTCCCTAATAATACAAAATATATTATAGAGGATATACAAAAAAAAAAAAATAATAACAATAATAATATTTTTTTAGAAAGTCATTCATAAAATCAAAAATTAGGACTCATTATCATTTTCAAAATATTCATATTGAGTATATGTAATTATTTAAGTAAAAACCAGATCTACACTAATCTTGAATCTATTAAATTATAAATTATTTTTAAAGAATCAATATTGAGTTACAGAGAATTTTTCAACATGTCATGTAATTGGAATCCACTTTCACAGTGGCCTTAAATCTACCTTCGTTGAACCTGGAAATTCTATTTACAAGAAGCAATTTTCGTCGCTTAAATCTGAGCGTGGATGTGGGTAAGCCTAAGGGATTCGATCCACCATCCTCGAAGTTTGTTCATGGATAGGATCAAGCTCGGGCTGGTGAAGAGGCTTGGACTGGGGTTAGGTGAAACAATGGGGTAGGTTAGAATAATTAACCACGAGGAAGGCGGGGGGGGGAGGGGGGAGTAAAGTGTCGGCACGGGGAATATCTCGCCACCTTCTTCATCAGCCCCTGTTTCTACTTCTACTGCTGCTTCGTCGTCTTCGGGGCTAAGCTTGAGCATAGCCACGTTCGTAGCCCTGCCACAGCCATTATGATGCCCTCGCACCGAGCGATCATGTCTCCGTAATTACACCACGCTGCTTGCAGAGCTGTGATCATTCTCCGCCGGAACCCCCGCAACATTCCCTTTGGGTTGGGTTGGGTTGGGTTGCCACGCAGGGGCGCAGCGAGGGAGCACGGAGACCAAGGACAGACGATGTGAGCGTGGGGGGGAGGGAGGGCGTAGACGAGTTGTGGGTGTTGCGAATGGTGAAGCGCAGGTGGAGTTTAATGGTGATGGGGATCAGGAATTAGAAGCTTGAAGCTTGGGGGTGGATTGGTGAGTTATAGATGAGGTTAGGAGCGGCGCTGGCGAGGTGGTGGATGGTGAGGTTGGGTGATTGGGGTGTTTCCGGGGGAAGCGTTGATTTGGTGAGTAGTTATGTCTGTCGCTGATTCAGTGCGAGAGCGCTACGAGGTGTCCAAAGCTGAAGTGCAGAGCCTGCGGGAGCAATTGCACGAGAAGAGGGCGTCGCTCCTTGACACTGATGGTGGGCCTTTCATACCTGCCGATTTTGTTGTTGTTATTAGTTTCGTATTTATGGTCGTTCTTTCTTCTCTAAAATGATACCTGATTTAGTTAATGCTTTGGTTTTTGACGATGTAGAGAATATGCGGTTCTATGGGGAGAGAGTGAGAGGGAGAGATGTATTGGAAATGAGTTGGTGTTCATCGTATCTTGGTACTGGAAATGATATATTTTGCATGTTTTGGACATTATCAACGCTGAAGTCTTAAGTATGTAATCTATTGGATTTGAGGTGTAATGGCTTTGGCAACGTGCTCTAGTTACCGAAGCAATTGTACGTCCTGGGGATAGTAATGAACCTTGATATAGAGCCCTGGAGAATGAACAATCATTGGAAGTGTGCTCTCTGCTGGTCCAGCTTAGAGGTCGAAGTTTTTAGGTTTACTCTCATTTTACTGAATACGCTCGGATGCTGCATGAGAAGGATTCTTGTGATTTTTAATTTAACATAGAAATTTTGGTATTGCTGAAACACCAGTGGCGACAACTGCGCAAAGTCAGGGATGTAAGCCGGTGGACATTAATAACCTTTATTTCAAGTGCGTCAGAACTCTTCAAGGACATACAGGGAAGGTGGGTGCAATTCAATGTAGTCTTGCTTCCAAATCGCTTAGATCAGCTTTTATCCATTGTGCAATTCTTATGTCTTCCCACCTCGATACAGAGAAACTGAATTCAGGATGCATCTTCAATTTCTAGTGGATTAGCCAAAGAAACAGGTGACTTAGTCACAAGGCAAGTAAAGTTATGTAATCGTAAAGAATCAAGGAACTAAGGATCAACGAAGCTTCTGAGCGTTGTAGATTGAGCATTGAAGGTTGTATCTGAACAGATATATTCTCTAGACTGGGCGTACCGGGAGACGTCGCGAATAGTGTCAGCATCGCAAGATGGCAGGCTTATTGTGTGGAACGCCATTTCAAGTCAGAAGACATATTCTTTGAAGTTGGCGTGTGCCTGGGTCAAGGCAGCGGCCATTTCACCTGGTGGCAACACGGTTGCATGCGGTGGTCTAGACAATGTATGTTCCATATTCAACCTCAGCTCTGTCCCTGATAAGGAGGGCAATTTGCCCGTGTCAGGCACCCTGGCGGGTCATACGGGCTACCTCTCGTCCTGTAAATATATGCCAACTCAAGAGAAACACATTGTGACGAGCTCTGGAGATCATACTTGTCGTTTTTGGGATGTTGAAACCCAGTGTTGCATTGCTGTTTTTGGAGGTGACATTCTGACTGGCCATACTGGGGACGTCATGAGGTGAGTAGTGGCATGCTGAAGATTTTCGTGGTGTGTGTGATGATGCGACTCGAAACTTCTTTGCATTACCTATGGTGGATTTCGTTTCAGCTCGTGCAGTCTCTAGGTTTTGGATATCATGTTGCAGCATCGTAGTTGATATCAATAGAAATATTGAAGTTTGGTGATTGAACAAGTGACGCAGAATCGACCCCTTAAAGAGTATGAAATCTAACAACAATTAATTAAGTTGCAGAACAACGTTGCATCTCGATCGGTATATGTAGAATCTGCTAATACTTGCGACAAATTGGTTTTTGGAGTCAAGTCGAGTTGCTGGCCCTGAGAAATGCACGCGAAGCGTGACTAGCCGAATAGTGTTATTTGAGCGGTGACTAAATGGAATTTGATGGGTGATGTCTACAGTGTATCCGTCAGCTCAAGCAGCCCCCATGTATTCATCTCAGGCTCATGTGACAAAAGTGCCAAGCTGTGGGATGTCAGGACGCCAGCCCGAGCGCAACGTACCTTTTATGGTCACGAAGGTGATGTAAATACCGTGAACTTTCTATCTGAGGGTCGTCACTTCGGAACCGGGAGTGACGACGGTAGCTGTCGACTCTTTGACATTGGCACTGGACACGAGTTGCAACAATATTGGGACAAGCAGGCCCTTGCCCGGGGTCCTGTCAACGTTACTTCAGTAGCGTTTTCTCGTTCAGGGAGACTGCTCTTTGCAGGCTATTCAAACGGTAATTGCTATGTCTGGGACACCTTATTGGCCAAGGTATGATCCACTGGGATGAGTAGTTCCCTCAAATACGTTCATACTACTTAGCGAAAGTGCTATTGTTTTGAAATGTGTGATGTACATCCCAAGGCAGCTGTGAATGAGCGAAGTACATATGTACTTCAGTTCGAGTCCCTTAGCTTCGGATTGTGTCAACGTACTTTCTCTGTGAGCAGGTTGTGGCAAACTTGGGTGGAGGCAGAGATGATGGACATACCAATCGCGTAAGCTGTCTAGGGTTGGCGGCTGATGGTGATGCACTTTGCACAGGAAGCTATGACGCTACTCTCAAGGTTTCTTGATCTCCAGAATCCTTTTCTTGTTTATTTTCCTTCAAGTCTGTTAATGTGGACTTGTAAACTCTGTTTTTATAGTGCAGCCACTTTGTGCTAAATCCCAAAGTATTCCATTTGTCATTTCAGGTCTGGTCGTGTGCCGGGAAAAAATCATAATACAATGAATGTTGAGACGAGCAGCTGCTTGAAGTCGCTTAGAAGGACATTTCGTATACTCTCGTCGTTGCGAGTCCTTAATGAGGCACTATGAGGTATATTTTATGGACGCGTTAAATGTGACATTTAATGTATGCAGAGGATGTAGGTGGTTGCTTGACCAAACGCAATGTCTGGGCTTTCTAGAATGTTAACAGAAGCTACCACTGATGCTTCTGGTCTCTTTAGATGTAGAGATAGGGGTAGGTATTACGTTTGAACATCTATCTGACAAACCAGCATTGATTCTTTGATTCTTTGAAGTCACGCTACTTGACATTTCCTACGTCTTCAGAGGTCCTTTATGTGCTATAATTGTTTGGTGAATAAGCAATTAAGTTGATAGGATACTTCTTACAAAGGTAGACGAGCTTAGTTAATTATTGTAAATTTTTCCACGTTTACAAATTAATGCTTTGACAGAATCGGGGTGAAAGGAAGTTGCTACTCAGTGTTTTCTAGTTCCTTTTCCTAGTTGATTTTGAAGGCCATGACGTTAGGGCCTTCACATGCAATTTGGTTCGTTGTGAAAAGATGTGAATGAAGTACTTATACATGCATGTAGCAGATACTCACACATGGTCTCTCCTCACAAGGTCGTGCGACCACCCTCAATCAGTTCCAACTTGGTAGAGTGGATTTTAATCTGAACACGCCTTGGATTAAGAAGTATATACACACCCCAGAGAGTATTAGAAGCCAAGCATTTTGGCTTCACTCGTCTGATGGTCACTACGGAGTTGCGGAGATTAAATTGAGAATTGAAGGCAATCCATGACAAATGCTTGTACTAGCGCTGATATCAGTAGTATTTCAGTGAAGGACGATGGATGTATTACCAATTGTGACTCCAATTTGAGATGTAACGTCATCTGAAAATAGTCCGGAAATGTTAGCTAGATGATAAGATAATTCTTCACGAGGGTTCTTTTTTCGATCCTGAAATGTGCTAAAGTTAACGTGCACCAAGCAATGGTCCATCTCCCACTATCCAACATTTGTACAAACTAGTTCAACTTTGACAGGGATCCTAGCAGAAAGAAAAAGTTAAATCGTTCAACTTACGGTTAATCAGTGGATAACAACAACATAATTGCCAATGCAGGATTGCGGAGAGGTAGGACTAGTTCTGGGAAAAAATCCGGCAGCATATGCTCTTCAGTTTAGCTCCAACTTCACTCTACCAATGTTTGGAACACATCTATCTACCACACAAACTACGCCCGAAACTCCTCCGTTCTCTTAATCAATCGTAGTAATCGTTCCCCACACCAAAACGGAGAATGCACTAGTAGGGGAGATTTCAAGTGCACGTAGACTGGAGGGACCAATAGTCTGGCTACAAAAGAAACCTTGCTACATCTCAATTTTCAAGGATAGTCCGCACCAATGTTAACTGTAATAAGAACAATCAGGTCACTACACAGCTGCAGTTGAGTCCAGCAACAAGGGCATGTTTGGTATGTAGATATATAGTAGTTGACTCATGATCATCATTTCGGCATATATTGCCGGTGATACAGTGCATAGAGAAACGTATCCAGAAATACTCTAATACCGTCTGTATTATCCATATGTACCAAAACACTAAATAATTCAAAATCTATTGCATTTACGGAGCACAAGGAGCAAGACTAGAAAGGTATTCCAGAGCCAAAACCAGCAAAATGCAAAGTGAGGGGAAGAAGACTTGATCGAAAGTATTATACTAAAAAAATCCTAAACTTATAATACATCAATTATGAAAATGACCAGAATATGTATTGACGGTCACCAAGCTGTAAGGTTGCACAGAAAAATAAGATATTAACCCTTGCAAAGGATGGATGATCTTAAGTCCTCTGTTTCGCACACACCAGCACCCATTCTGGGATGGACGGTGCACAGGACAGTTTCAGCTATGAAGGTAATATAGAAACTAGAGACCTGAATACAGACGATAAGAAAACATCATAAGCATATGATGTGATAATCCTGGCATCTGAGGTTGACACCAAGTTAGGTACGCCTTACAAACTGAAGAATTCACCGATGAGCCCTGCTTACCCACGAATGCAATCGTGATCACGACCGAGTAAATGGCTTAAAATTTCAAGACAGTGATGACTACGAATGCAAAACGCAGGAGATTACACAAATCAAGTGAGTCCCATCAACAGACGAAATATTGGGCTTACTAACCAAGTGTTGGAATGACTAGGCTTTCATCCCCGCGGGCTGCTGCTGCTGCTGCACAGCCGCAGCCTGTTGAGGCTGCCCGTAATTGAGGGGTCTGCGGAAGAGCATGATGTGCGGCTCAGGTCGGTGAATTGCATAGTGCACCCACCCGCGTGATTGCTGGACTCCGATTCCGCGCCATTCAGCCTGTATTCAGTCTATAGTTAGGCAACGAGTAAAAGCCGAAATCTATAAATATATTCGTGATAAAAGCATCCCGATAATTATGTTGACAATGACAGTGCATAATACCAACAGCCAGTGCTTGTATACAGAAGTAATAACCTGGTCCTCTGAGCTAATGGTCTGGTACGCAAATAGAAAGAACACGGGCAAGCGTGACTAAGACAAAATCCACATGTAATACCTCGGACAGAAGCCGGTTCTTGGGTAACAACTTGGCAATGTCGGGAGGGAGCACAACATGCCTGAAGCACTCCAGAAAAAATCAGTGGACCAGGGGTAAGAATTGCAGTTATGCTTTACCAACATCTAGAAACTTGCAGCCGCATTCATTCTCACCAGGAAGTGCCGAATACACAAATCAATTCAATTATCCTAACCCTACTAAAGTCAAAAATAACGTTCTAAAGTCTATCAAAGAGTTAATGTCGTCCATTGAAATGCAACACGCACAAGAAGACGAGACTCGAAATCAGAAAACAACTAGAATTGTCTCAAACCTCAAAAAAAGATACTCGAAAACATTAGGGTAGGTAGGCAACCGGTTCGCGGTTCTTCTCAGATCACCAAAGCAACCGAGCTTTAGGTCACTGAAACCCAAAACCTCAAAGACATGGAACTCAAAAACCGACCCGAGGGCACGCACCTGTACTCGTAAGTGTCATCGAAGTACTTCTCAGAATACTGAATCTGAGGCATCCCTTAAGCGCTGTTCTTTCCCACCACTATTTTCCAAAGCAGGAAAGGCCAGAAACACTCCGCCTCAAACCACTGTCCAAGCCCAACCACACTGGACAACCATCACAAACCTAGCCTACGCGCAGAAAGCGGTATACAATAGGAATTCGATTCCCCTTACTACATTACACAGCATGAGCCCTCAACATCCACCATCACTGTATGCGGAATCGAGCCACCGAAGACAAAGACGAAAAATAAGAAAAACAAACAGGAACCCACCTGGTGTACAAGGCCAATCGAACAGAGAAAACTAGTGCGCGCGGCAGAAAGTGTAAGAAGCGGAGAGATGGTGTTGGGCAGCGGCGACGCAACGGGCCAGAGGCAGCACAAAGGAGGAGGAGGAGGCGCAAGGGCAGCGACAGACAGAGAGGGGGTAGACAACGTGTCGCGGACTCAAGCAAGGGACCAAGCAAGCAAGCGGGGGAAAATTTCAAATTCCAACGGGTCGGAGATTTAAGGCGCACACCCCCTTCCCCCCCCCCCCCCAGTGCTCCTCACTGTTCCCGTGGTGTTCCCCATTGTTCCCGCACCTTCCCTTCGTTCCCCAGTGTTTCGCTTGTTCCCCACAAATTCCCCTTGTTCCCCGAATATTCTGTTCAAACTTATTTAGTGTCATAAATCGATTTTTACTTATTTTGATGTCATATTTTTTATTTTCAAATTTTCAAGGAATTCTATTTTTAAAAGAGTTAAAAATATAATTTAGTGTATATTAGGAATTTTTAATTTAAAATATTAAGTACATTTATAAATAAATAAAATTATAAAATAAAATATCATAAAAAAAATTGAAGCGTGAATTCTTACAATCATCATATTAAATTAATAATAATAATAATATTATTATTATTATTATTATTATTTTTAAATTTTATTTCATTCAACCTATTATTTTTGAAAAATATTTTTAGATTTTTTTATGGCTATATAATATATGATGTTAAGAATATCAAAAATTATCTTAATGAAAAAAATATCTATTGGATATAACAGGAAACACATTTATTTATAAACTCTTTCCAATAGATTTAAATATAACTTTCAGATTTTTAACAAAAAAGTATTTTTAGTTTTGGTTTTGCTTTTTAATCTAAAAAATGATACTAATAAATTATTTTTACATACATGTATCTATAGATAGACACATGTATATTCTAAAAGATATACTTCAGTATAATATATAAAAAAAATTAAAATGTGTTGTTATAAAATAATAATAATAAATTAAAAGTGTGGTTTGAATCATAATATATAAGTAGTGTATTTGTTAGAGATTGAAAAATAAGAGATCATAAAATTGAGACGTACAAGCAGAATTAAATATATATTGTATTAGAAGCAAAATTAGATACAAGACTAAATAAATAAATAAATAAAAATACTAAAATCACTCTAAAATTTAAGTTGGAAATATAAAGATGCTTATTTAAAATGTTTCAATTTGGTGCTTTGGAAATTACGTGAAGGGTTCTTAGAGCTATAAAATATCTTTGGAGTAAAAAATAATATTTTGCAAAAAATTGTGGAGAACCAAAAAAGACTTTGTATAACTATTGGAACTTCTAATGAAGTATGGAAGGTTTTAATAAATTTGAAGACAATTATTAAAGTTTTTAGAATCTCATAGATTGTTCCACAAGAATCTAATAATTTCCAAGGATCCATAAGAAAAAGTTTAAATTTATCTTGAATAAAAGACACACATAAATAAGATTTTAGATGGTTTAAAATATTCTAAAAGGTGCTTAATTTTAGTTTTTGTACATGTATAATATTACATCATTTTCCAAAAACATAAAAAATAATAATAATAATAATAATAATAATAATAATAACACGATTTTGTTTTCATGGTGACTTATTATTACTCCAAAAAAATCAACACTTTTCAAAAGAATTCTTATTAGATATATTATTCACTGGTCTTTATATAATAAATGTATATTCCATTCAACCAAAAATTATAGCTACAATTTTTTGGTAATATTAAATACATTCTAATAACATCTTTGTAAGTTAAGACTTCCAAAATACCCTCAAAAAATGATCTATCAATTACTAGCTTCAATTCTGCTAATTATAATAGTAATCAGGATTTGAACACTTCCTTGAACATCTTAAGATCAAGTTAATTTACTTAAGAGAAAAATTGTATATAATTGTATATAATCTTTAATAAAGTTGGATTGATTTACATACTACTTACAAATTTAAAAGAAAAACTAATTGGATTTATTTAGTAGATAATTGGAAGTAGATCAAAATGTTAATAGTATAATTTCTATAATAGATTAAAAAAAATGTGTAGTTTTTGTTAAGAAAAAATAAATGAATCTACTTAATATTTTATTTTTAATTATCTATTATTTTTATGATGGTATTTATGAATATTATATTAAATTTGATGTTTTTATTTTTAGAAATATAATTATTTTTAGATGGAAATAAAGTTGATTAATCAAATATTTTATACTTAGGCTTCTAATATCTACTATATGATTATGCAATCAAACAACAAGAAAGGGCACAAACTTTATATTAACCAAAATATATATTTTTATAAATAGAATTAACAATATAATACTAAATAATTATATTGAAATTTACTAATTGTTTTTATTCTATGTTCCAAGTAATTAGAATTAGTATGTATTTTTTATTTGTATAAAAATAAATTATTATAAATATATGTGTATTATTAGAGAATATAAAATTGCAAAACAATATATATATTACTATTAGATTCAATTAAATCTTGTAAAACAACTAGAATAAATATATTCTTCATAAATATTTGATTGAAGGATGATTGTAATTATTTTCGAATTTTCATAAAAAATACAAACAAACAAATATACATACAATATGAGACAAAAGTTTGTACATGGTAAAAACACTTTGAATATAATAATATCTTGTTTAGGTTTAGAAATGATATAATGAAAATATTTAAAATACATATATAATTAATGTATAATGAGATCTTTATATTTTAATGATTAAAAGTATCACAAGCACCATGTATGGTATTGCAAAAACCAGTAAAGCAAGAATTTGACACCAAATTGGAGAAATTGACTTCTCTTAAACATCATTGTTATTTTTTAGTATTACAAGCAATCCATAATAGATAAATAAAAAAAATCACATCAAATAGATATTAAAATAATAATAATAAATAATAATAATAATTAAACTTTTAATAGAAATTGAATCATGTTTTACTTTATTGTCTTTAACGATTCTTCAAACAAGTAAAACAAAGAATCGCTTAACCAAAATATTTTTTAGTTATATTGACAAAAGAAGTTTATTCAACAATTTCATCAATTAATGATATAATAATTATAACAAACAATCATAGTAATAAACTTCTTACATATGAAAGATCACAAATTAGCATATTCTTAAAGTGAAAGACATCAATAATAATAATACCATAACTATTTAACAATAACATTGAATTTTATTAGTAAAAAAATCATCATGCAATTTAAACAATAAATAATTATGTTCTTTGTTCAATATATTTTGATCTACGTAAACTGAAAAAAAAATGTTCTAATATTGGAAATGATCTTTCAACACATGTTTTATATATGCTAGATTATGGTATAAAAAAATAAAATGTACTTTCATTTGAGATGGATGAATGTATAATAAAAAAATATTTATGTAAAAGTTCAATGAGACAAATAAACAAAATAATAAAATAAAATAAAACAAAATTATCAAAATAATTGTCTGTAACATATTCTTTTTGAAAATAAGGCATATTGTTTAACAAGATGTAAATATGTTAATGATATTTTTGTTGACTTTTATTCATGTAGTTTTTGCAAGTTGTACTCACTTTGTAATGGCAATGATTCAACCGTGAGTTCAATAATGTGTACTATAATTCATATTTCTTTGACTAGAATCGATTCATTCACAAGTGCAGTGAGAGATAAAACTTAATTTTAACTCACTTCAAAATTACCTGTATAAGGTTTCTACTTAACTTCATATTATTTTATTGAATATTCTAATCATACTAGAGTTGCATAATTCCAAAGAATAAAGAACATTTGAATTTATTGGAGGATCAAATAAAGCTATCTGTCTTTCTTTTCTTCTCTTTAAAGAATTGAAACATAGAACTAGAAATAATATTGATAAAGAATATATATATATATATATATATATATATACTTTAAAATAACATATTTGAAATTATAAGATTCTTAATTAATGTTAAAACAATACCTGAGGTGTTTGAAAAAACCTTGACAATCTTAAATAATCTAAACAAACTTTTCACACTGTATTCACCTTCAAATAAACCATTAACAATCATGCTAAAAAACCATAATTAAACTTCAAAGAAATCACAAATAACCATAAAAATTTTATCTTATTTTTTTATAAAAAAATCTCTGAAAAAAACCTCTACAAAAAACTTTAAAAAAAATTTGAAGAAAATCTAACTTAAAAATTAGAAGAAATAGTTCATAATCCACTACGATATTTATTGTCCTCTTTCTTCAACCTCATTGCAAATCTTCCAACTTCAATATCTCTCACTTGAATTGTTAACTTATTCTCAAATTTGCATGAATGTAAAAGAATCAATCAACCATGAGCACACAAAAGCATTTTTCTAACCCAATTGGCAGATTACCTAAAATGCAAGAAACTCTTTCAAAGGGTTATCATTCTCTAGCAAATTATTATTATTTGCGTTGATTTATTTTTCTTTTATTCGTTTCTAAGTTGTAAGAAAAAAAAATGGTATTTTGAAAAGTATCTCATACATATAATCAATTCTTGAAAATTCTGAAATCTTGGGTATTAATTGCATTTAGTAAGACAATGGAAGTTACTGGTCACAATCAAATCAAAATTGTTTTAAAATATTCATTTAAAAGTGCACTGTTTATTGTAATAGTTGTGTTTTTCTTCTTCATAAAAGATGGCAGTCCGCCATCGTCATGTTTTGAATTTTGTATCATTCTGCCGACTTAAAAGTTGTAAAAAACCTCGTTTAATGTATATGTACCATTTTCTATTCTTACTGCATTCGTCTGTCAATAAAAATGCGTGGTAAAATTACATTGAAATGTGTTTAAAGTACATTTTTGAGTAATAAAAAAAAAATGATAACACATGAAAATATTACACCGTTTTATGACTATTGTAGTCAATAATCTTTTTAAGAAATTAAAATTATATAAATAAAACTATGAATATCCAAGTGAAAATTGATTTGTAGCCTTCTCTTGTTGCTCATAGGTTTTATAAAAATTATCTTTAATTTATTAAAATTTTTGTTGCTAGTTATTTTTTTAATTTTTTTGAAATGTGAAATATCTCATCAAGAAAAATTAACAGAAAGTGAAATGAAAATGAAGTAGAATAATTTCTTGTGATTAAATTA